CGGCGTAGTGCACTCGGATATCGGCCGATGCCGATACATTAAAAAATGCTAAATATCGGCCCGATATATCGGTCGACCTCTAGCTGCTTCTCATTGGTTACATAACACTTTCCTACTATTCGACTATGAGGTTCATAGTCGAATCAGACGTCTACTAATCGAATCGTCGAATCCTCGACTATTAGAAGTCAGCCCTAATAGAAATCACAAAATTTGTGTTGTGGACGTGGTAAACGTGTTTGAAAGTTGCTGTGGTACCTGAAATAATTATGTTTTAGTAACATTTACATCATGGTTGTCACTGATGGCAAATTGTATATTGGGTTTCTGAGGTTGAGGTACATTGATTGGATTGCAAGCATTGTTATACAAGCTAATCAATCGGTCTTCTACAATAATTGAATGTAGCAGCTTTCTAATAATTAAACATTAGCAATGCAGTTGACCTTGGATGCAGTTCACTGATGCAGATGAATCAAAAATAAATTACGTTAAAAATGTCTTCTGGTCTTTTTTCCTCTTCCCTCTAGTACCCCAATTTCCTCAAGGTAGTGCTAATTCATTTACCCAGCAACAAATTTTACAACAGCCACCTAGAGTTCGGAGCAATCAAACTTCATCTGAAGGCAAGTTCCATAAATGTGTAATTTAATAATTTATTTATAAATTTTGTTCAATGGAAATAGTTTTCACACCTCCGGGTGAATTTATTTTGTGTGTGTCTGTGTGTGTGTGTGTGTGTGTGTCTGTGTGTGTGTGTGTCTGTGCGAGCGGGTTTACCTATCCTTATATAATGTCCCCATAACGTGATAAATATCCTTTTTTTTTCCCCTTATGGGGACCGGTTTATAAAACTCTATTTTATAAAAATCGGTGACTTCTATGAAAAAACTAAAAATGTTATTTTCAACATGCATACACACAACCAGCTAAATAGTCAATTACTCAAATACTACTTTCCTTTGCCATACCTGCAAACTTGTCGCTTTTCGGCGACAATCGCCGATTTCATTGTCAATTGGGTCATTCACGTGAATCGTGTAGAACCGGAGAGTTTTTTTTTGNTAGGGAGGTGCAAGTGGAGCTGGGCATGGCTCAAGGTGGAAGTGAGGACAAAGCCTTGAAGGAGATGGAGAGACGGAGGGTGTTCGACTGCCAGCCATCCTCAAGCGCTGCCGCAGCCAGAAGAACCAAGGCAGAAGAGGAGGCTCTGGCCAGAAGGAGGCATGCGGCCAAACAACGAAAGCGAGCTTGTGAAACCCTTGTCCAGGCTAAGAAGAAAAAAAAAATGAATGTTTTTCAGTAAAACATACTATTTTTCAGTATGTTTTTCATTAAAGAAAATGAATGTTTTTCAATTTCCCTCCATGGCGTTTGCGTGCGTGTGTGTTTGTGAAACCCTTGTCCAGGCTAAGAAGGAAAAAATAAATGTTTTTCAGTATAATATAATTTGTGTTTTGGTTCTTTTGTTGTTTTCTTATTTTAGTGTCATGCGCCTAACACTTTCTTGAGTTCACAGTGTCGGCGTCGCCCATTCTGCCCCCCCCTCCCCCCCCCAGGACACTGTCACCTTTTTTTGTCTGATGAGTTTGCAGGTCTGAACAACACTAATAATAAAATTATTAATGAAACACCCCCATTCCTGCGGCCCATCCGACCCGCGCCCCCTTTGACCCCCTGACAATGGACGGGACGAGACGGGGCGGGGGCGGGGGGGGTTAGTGGAATGTCACTCTTGCCTGTCTTCAAAACTTGAGAGCCCTGTATTAAATGGGCATAGCAATTAGCATGTCTATGCAAAGTTCATTTTGAACATGACTGGATTACTTTTGAGTTGAGATATTTAGATGGGTATATTTAACGAAAAGAAAGCCAGGCTCAAACTTCTTAATGCTTTGTTTTTTCACATCCACAGAATGTTGCATGAGTTTTGGGTAAAATTGAAGTTGTTGGATAATGGTTATAATGCTTAATGCGCGTTATGTTGAATAATGTAAATACATATATAATTACTTGAATGTTTGTAATTTGAGTTGAATAAAAAGGATTTTGATCGATTATGGTGATTTGATTGTTGCTGTGTTGTACATTTTATTTTTGTTCTAGAACATCGTACCCCCATGCATTGGATGGCGAGTCAGTCCCGATAGATCCCAAGCACCACTGGATTTGAAATACGGACTACTTCCAGATAAGGGGGAAAAAATTTAAAGTCCTATCTTTCCAATAATGATCCAGGCGGTGTATTTCACTAATTTTTTTGGTTGTTACTTTATTATTTTCCCGTGAACTGAAATTTGCATACACGTATTTTGCAAACCTTTTCCGTTGTTACTTTATTTTTTTTTACGAACTGTAATTCATATGGTCATTTTGCAATCCTTTTGTTTTTATTACTTGAATGATTATTATTTCAAGAATGGTTGTTTGATGCATATACATTTCTTGAGATTTTATACATAACATTTATTATTAATTGATATTTTTTTGGTGAATTGTATAATAAATTGTTCATTACACTCCAATTGAAAAAAAAAGCAAATCTTTCTTATCCTGTCTGGCCAAATCTGAAATCTCAGATGTGTACAACTGTATCTCACATTGGGGTCTAAAGTGCTACATCAGGAATGGAAATGTCAGAGACCTGCAACCTGTAAATGTGTGTGGACACAGAGTGAATGTCAAAAATACCTGTGCTTTTGATGCATTTTGTTAGTGCCTTTGCACTGCCTTTTGTGACAGTATGTCCTACATTAATTATGTCGTCCAAGAAGCAAGCAATGTGGAAATTTTTCAACTGGTAAAAACCATGACAGAAAAGGGTATACCAAAAAAACATCTACATATCAAAAAAAAAAAGACATCTACATCCTGAGAGGTAACATACTGAAGTATTGACGCATACACAGTATTGCATTTGTATCCACTGACCAAAACACACTCAAGACAAGAGGAGTATCAGCTCTACAAGCAGTTGATAAACAGATTGATTTAGGCCCGTCAAAATGTCTGTCATGTGTCCATGATGTCCAGCATACTCCTGAGGAAATTCTGTTTTTTGACCCAGCAGTTTCTGGAAACATCCTTTGCAATGGCATCGTAGAACACACCTTTATGACAGGACAGCACCTTTGTGTTGACACTGACATTGGAGTCTGGCCGGCTGGTGAAACATAACCCAGAGTTTCAGATGAAACATTTCAGGCACAGCTCTCAGAACCTCCACAGGACCATGAATTAAAAGGGAACTGGTTCACTCTAAGAGATGTGATTGCATTTTGCCAACCAGGTACCAGAAGCTCTCTAGACCATTACATTGCCTATTGTAAAAGGCCTGATTTCAGCTGGGAAAAATATGATGGCATGGCAGTGGTGGATTCTCATACCAAGATCTACCTACATGCTGTTCTATAGATGTTAGCTTCAATACATAAGCTACAAAGGAAAATGTCAAGGCTATTGCTAAAGCTTATTATGCCCAAATTGGTTCTTGTGCGCTTTTCTTAACCGTGTTAAGGTGAAGTTGTGCTTTGCATTATTTGTTCTTAATTTGTTGTTTAGTTTTCATTCAAGTTTTTGATCTACAATCAATAATAAAACATTTAATGTATTATTTAATGTCTGATGTCTTCGACTGTAACTAATAATCATGCTTACAACATGTGAAATCTGCGCACTCCATAGTAGTACCATAGAGGGGTGTTGGTAGATGTTGGCACAGGT